TTATAGTGTTGCTATGATAGTTTCATTTCATCAATTAATATTATAATAAATTAATAACCTATAAATAATTATAAATCAGTCTCTTATAATTAAAGTCAAAATTTTTCTAACACAACCTTTCAAGTAGTTATAAGTGACTTTGTAGGGAACACTTTGACACAAATTTTGCCGCTGAATTTGTTTTAGTCTGCATACTAGTTGGAAGAAAATCTTAAAATAAGTGTGAAGATTCTGACCTAACGTAGAATAACCAATATTTAAGCTAACATTTTCTTTTAACTGTTGTTAGAAAGTTCTAGTCTGGCTCTAAGAAGATTGAGGTTTGTGCATCCTAGTTTGGGTTCATACTACATTTTTGAGGTCGCGTCCCAGTTTTTTTCTAAGACGGGAGGTTTTTTTACTTGTACCACAATGTTGTTAGAACTTGCTATTGTGGTCGATATTCAAAGGCGAAGATTTTTAAAAAATTCTTTTTTATTTTTTGAGTTGTTATTTATATGGGGTGAAACCTCAGTCAGTATATTATACTATTTGATATTTTTACTTTATATTTTTTCACGTCACACAATTAATTATTTTTGATGATCAGCAAGTGTCTATGTTTTTGACCAGGAGGGAATGTATATAGCATATAGATGGGAATGAGTTTCATTTTTTCCCTAGACTTTTAGTTTTTAATAGGACAATTAGGGACGGATATATGACAAGTATAAAAGAACAAGTTAATACAGAATTAAATAATATAAACCTATTTTACTTTCTTCTATAATACAATCCGTTTCGGTCAACCTCTTTTTACTAGGACGAAACCAGAACGGGAATTTTTCTGGGACACGTCCAAATCCATTTTAACTGCATTTTGGATAACAAATATGATGTATTAGGATACTTTGATAAGACACATTTGTCCCTAGTTAAAATTTTACTAGGGCCAAGATGCTTTGGTAGTGCCTCCTTGCAATATATGATCGTGAGATAAATCAGTTGTATGATAGATACCTAGGGTAATGAGATTTTTTTATGTTCCCTTCGGGACGTGAAAATCATAGGTCGGTATTAATAGATACCAAATTAATAGAAATACTATGGACTGGATATTAATAAAAGTAATATTTATCAAATGAATAGACTTTGATTATCAAAATTTTATTATCATAAATTTGTTGTGTTTACGCTAAGCAAAGTATGCAAGGTTTTAAAGAACTTGTATATATATATAAAAAAAACCAAATTTATGAATTGAATTTACAATTGAAAAAATTCGTGATACTTGAAGGTACTATCTTTTTTATAGCGATCATCGGTTGATTTAGGGTCAATCCATAATTCATTATTAGCCCGATGTCTAATAAAGTAATTTGGATAGTTGACACTCTGGAAGCGAATACCACCATTATCACCTAAATGTTTTTCGTAATGTTTGATTGGTCAAGAGATATTTGAATTTGATTAACACATAATATCAACAAAAGAATAACGTAATAATACCTGGGACAACGACGAAAGAGGCATCTTGCTTGAATAAATCTGAGCCATCGCCTCCGGAAAGCTTGATACGATAATCTTGATGTCTTAAATATTGACCTGGATAGTTTGTGCTTTGAAAGCTGATACCTGAGCCACTCAAACCGGGAACTATCGTAAATATGAAATCAGGGACAAGAGATGGATCTACTTGACGGATGAGCCCAAGGTAGTTTTGGTGTGAAATATAATATCCATCGTTATTTGAACTTTCCAAAGATCCGACTTGTTGAGGTGCCTGATATTTAAAAAGACATAAAATTAATAATCATCGGTGGTAATAATTGTTACAATAATTACACTAACGAGAAAAATTTATTTACAATTGAAGTCATTTTTAGTTTTTGGTTTATGTTCAAGAAAATATTCTTTTTAACAAAAGATGATGTTGGAAAGGGTTTTTACACAGCTATTTATATAATGATTGGTAAATTCTGGGACCTCATTTTCGTCTTTTCAAAGAAGCCTGGGTAATGATTATATTCATTTATCGATGGGATATATTAGTAAATATAGATTATCTTCTATCAATCGACTTGTGTAGTTATACCCGTTCCAATTTAGTTATTGGGGATCTTTTTATATATAACTTAATATTACGCGATCAAATGATAAAAATAAATAAATAAATTTGATAAAAAAATTGTTGTTACACGAAAAAAGAACCAAACAATCTTTTTAATTGTTAATATTAATAGTATCGTTGACAAGATAATTCCAACAATAATTATAACCCATATTAAAAATGTTAATATTCATATATAATAAATCAAACGCCACGTTACATTCATTGTGCACAATATGTTCGCAAAACTATATTTTAAATCCTTAACAATTTTTATATATGATAAATAATAAATTTGTTTCGCACTTATTAATTGGGAATAAACATTTTAATAAACCACATAAATAAATTATTGAATTAATTGAAATAATCAAATTTGCAAGTAGATTAATTACTGAAAAACTTTTACTATGTTTAGAGGATAGCCCCAAGAACTATAGTTGTAATCGGTGTATGGAATTCAGTTGGGAGATAGTGCAATATAAAAAATCAGCAAAATAGATAATAATGACACAAAAATTTGATTTTAATAAGAGAGACATGCACAAACCAAATTTGCATTATGCCGAATTTCACACGCTGGTTGTAATAGATACTTAAACAGATCGTGTTCAAGAGGAATAAGTTAGCATTTTAGAAAACTATAAATATTATTGATAGGCTAATTACCTTTCTTCCGCCCGGTTCCAATTAAAGTAAACAGAATTGAAATAGACAAAAAATGTAAGGCAACAAATAGATTTTTAGATTAGATGGTTAGACTGGATGTTATTTTTGTTATTTTGTTTTTCTTTTTTTTGAGGAATCTATAGTTAATTAGCCTCTAGCTAAGAACTATCCAAAAGAGAGGAGACCTAGGCAAATTTTTTTAAAACCCCGCGCTACATTGTAAATACTATCATACTAAACCAAATGCTTGTAAATCTCCTGAAGATAATGGAATGAATTTATGTAATGAAATTATGGTCAAATCTTGTTTCTGCCCAAATCTTTTAAGGGTTATTAGGCAAATTAAGGGGTTATTTTAGATGTTTATTTTAATTACCACTTAAATAAATACATCAAGGCAACCAAATTGCCAAACTGCTAAACATAATCCAATCATATATAATTAATGAATTCTAATATTTTAATAATTTCTTTTTTTTTATTGTTATTATGGTCTTTTGGTTGATAACCATTCATTTGCTTTTAAGAATTGTGTAGAAAGATCATCTGAAATAGTTCCATTAGCTTTGAGAGAATTAATTGCCACAATAATCTAAAAAAAAAATTTTTCAATAATAAACAAACAGATGAAACATAAAAACAAACAAAGAAAAAATATATTTTCATTTACTTGATCCCAAAAAGAAAATCCATTCAACAAGTCAGATTTTACATCAACACATGACGTAAATGTTTCTTCAAGTTTTTTAATCGAACTAGCAATCTTAGAACTGGACTCACTTTTATCTTCATTTTCTTTTGATGAACTTATAATATTTTCTAAATATGTTTTTGCAACTATACCCAATCCAGTATTGACATCAAACAAAAATGGTAGACTGTTGTCATTGTTGTAGTTATTGTTATTATCAACAAATATATAAAAAATTTAATTAAAATAATGAACAAACAAATAA